GGTCTTCCCCTGATTTTGCAAGACTAGGGCAGTCGAGTGCATTTGCCGAATCACCATTGGGGTCGTTCTTGAAACTAGATGGGGGATTTCTTCCCTTGTGCAATTGAGAAACAAATGGTTTTGTCAATTATGAGGGTAGGTCACGGTGAGCAAGATGGGATCAAGTAGGGTAAGATGATGGTGAAGGTGTCAATGGCCGCAAAGCGCAACCATGCAGGGTAGTGGCTCTGGCGGGTTGAAGTCGTGGTAGGTAAAGGGATTAAGCATTTTCTTTTTAATTTTTATTCATTTTTTTATTTCTTTCCTTATTTTTCTTAATCTTTTTTTTTAAAATAATGTTAATTTTAAATGTTAAAATATAGAAAGTTCATTTGCCCTTTTTTAAATTGGGCAAATTTTGGTCAAGGGACGCCTACTGGATCACATAAAGGTTAGTGGTCAGGAAACGCAAAGGACTTCGTTCAACGTATTAATTTAAAGGTTTGGAGACAGCTGCGAATTTGAAAAGTTTGGGACTGACGGTACTTATTGTGACCTCTAGTGCTATTTACCCTTATTTTTGTAGTCTCAATTATATCACAAACATGATATTTGGTAAAAAGATATATATATATATATATATATATTTTCTTTTAATTATTTAACTTCTATATAAGGTAATTAAATTATATGTATTAAGACAGATAAAATAAATAACTAATATATAAGAATTTAAAATACTCATGAAAATATTAAATTTTAAGATGAAGTCCCAAAATCTAATATCTTAAATAGATAAATGAATAATTCAATAAAACGTGACATTGATTTATAAAATAAAATTTCGGGGATGTGGTCCTTCAAATTCTTGCAGTCAATGTTTAGAATTGAAATAACGTGGCACGTGCATCTCACTTTCTAACTAATGGAATCTTCTCATTTTCATTTAAATTGGTCCGTGCAAGTAAAATGTAAAACTAGTTCCTTATAATACACCACATGATTTAACAGCCCTTGTGTATATCAAGCCAGAAATAAGTTATAATCATATTGCACATTCAAACTCAAATTCAGATAGGATATGTGTCGACGTACGATTGAACAATTTGAAAAATTTAGATGAGACATCAGTCCGTCTCTTTACTCTCCCATTTTGAGCTCTGGACAAATGACTTTATTCAATAAGTTATGAGGAAGCTTATGATGAGATTATTAGCAAGAAATAAGTTAAAAGCAACAGCAAAATAGACTTTCCTTCTCTAATTTGGTTGCCCGTTTTAGTTGAAACTTTATTCAAGCTTATCAAATTCAACAAAGATATGGCGTGCAAGTGTGACTATTACCTAAATATGGTATGTTACATCAAGAATTGTTGTAATCACTTGGCAAACAAAAGAACATTTCCATTCAAGCCTAATAACTTGAAAACAATACACATAGTCCGCACGCTTTCTCAAGTTTCACTATTTTTTCTTAATCGTACCAAAGTTTAACAGTAATGTTATTTAATTTTATTGGGGTTACAATTCCAATTTAGGTGACGTTAATGTGATGCTAAATGATAGGTTATTAAATTAACGCAACTTAAAATAGGATTATAACTCTAGTGAAGTTGCATAGCATTATTCAAAGTTAAACATAAACGATACACCAAAACAATTTTAATATTTTCTTTGTTTTTAACCATGCTTGGCAACATAAGCAAGTTTTTAACATTGTTGGACCACGGTCCCATAGAAACGATCAAGATCAATTGTTTTCATCTCGAAATCGAAAAGCCAATATCATGTGTCATCAACGATGGACCACAACTCAATACGCGTTCCATAACAAAAATCTCAAATTAACCACACATAGGAAGGGTCATAAGTCCTTGTTCGACAACCATTAAAACAAAACTTTCATTTTTTATCAAATTTATTTTCAATCATACATTTTCACAATAAAATATTTTGTACATAAATCTAAAATTTTCTACTTTTTTAACCATAAATTCTCCCAAAGAAAAAAAAAATCATCATTTTAATGGTTGTCAAATAGGGACGGATAGAGCCTGCCCCAACCCAATTTTAAAGTGAATTATTAAAAAAAATATCATGCTCAAATTCAGCTAAAAAATTCATTTTAGTCCTACCTTACTCTCAGCTTCAACGTAATGTCTAATTTACATCAAATTTTGTACTTGATTGAGTATTTGATCCGCTTAATCTTCTAAATTGGATCTCGTGTGGCATAGAACATCTCTTATAATGTGAGTTCAATAGAAATTTATAAATTTCATCTGACTCGACGTCTTGTTTGTCCTTGACATCATCTAATAGGCAAACATCTCAGAACGCTATTCCAAGTTCCTAGACGACGTTCAAAATTAGGAAATGACACTGTACATGAAATGACTAATGAATTGTCGATATTGTCCACATTCAACACGTTTTTGAATTGTTTGTCTCTTTGCCTTCTCAGTATACGTTTGTTCAAATGTACCTGTCATCTTTAATAAATCCAATTCAAAGTCATGTGAAACAGAACCAAAACGATCTTTCTTGAAATTACCTAACATTTGCACACAAAAAAAAAAAAGATTTTAAACATCATTTACACATTTAAACTGTTTACTTGACCTTTGAAGTAATGAGCTATTAACATTATCAATCCTCCTAGAAAATTCATCTAACTAGAAAGTTTTATCGGTAAGAAGAAGATAGCCGAAATGTATTTTAGAAGATTATGAGAGCAACACTACACTACGAGTACTCCAAAGGAGGGAGAGGGTTGAGGAAATGGTTTTTTTAATCTTTAAGGGCATCAATGGATTTAACCCCCCTAAATGAAGGCTCGAACCCAAGTCGTCAACCTGATAAGGCTTCGTTCTTAGCACTTGAGCTAGGTCTTGACCCTAGCCTAGGATTTAGTTTGTGGCAAGTTTAGATGAAGAACATCAACTTGCAATGATCATCATCAACAATGTTCGATTGATGTGCACGGGTAATTGGAAATTAAAATCATCTTACAATGAAGGTATTGAACAAGACAAACTAAAACAAAATTAACAAATTTCAAAATAATAACACTGGCAAAACCAGTTAAACTTACAAATTTAATGTAACTTGCATATAAACATCCTTATGACAGATCATGTATGCTATAAACAAACAGAAAATTGATATTCTACACGGTGAAAGATAGTACATTTCCTAATCCTAGCATCAACTGATGTATATCAAACTCTCTGAAGCTTTTCATATTTTTCACTATGCATTGGGCCTAATAACTATGTCAAATGCAATAATGCTGTGAGATTATCAACCAATTGATGATATAGGAGTCACTGACGAGAAAGTACTTGTATCAACTTTTCCTCAGTTAGCTGCTCGGATCCTTGAGACTTCACAACAAATGTGTGAAACACTTTATCGGTTCCCGTGGCAATCTTCGACTCTAGAACAGTTACTTGTGCATCTTGGAATGCTTGGATGACCCCTGATATAGGATGTGCATCCAATGGACAGAGTAGCCTAACAATGACTTGGTCATGGACAGATTGGACATCGATTTTGAGAACTCGGTTTTGTAATTCTGAATTTGATTGCGATACCGAAGTTGATGCATTTCTCGAAATGCTTTCATGTCTCCCTGCGTCAGACTCCATGTCCTTCAACTTCTTTTGAAGTTGGGTTATGTAACTGATTGCATCCCCCAAGAGTGAGGCTTTGTCCATCTTGGAAATATTCGGAACAACTGCTCGTAGTGCACAGAACTGACGGTTTAGCTTCTCTCTCCGTTGCCTCTCTGCCTCTACATGATTGAGAGGTGCTTCTCTTCCATTGGCTGGCTTGCGTCCACGCTTTCGAGGCCTCTTCTCATCAGAAAGTCTTGTACGGTCATCTTTGTAAGAAACTTCAACATCTGAATGCTCAGACTCAGCCTTGTGTGGTCTCGAAATTATAGACCTTGAGGTCACTCCGGTAAAATCAATTTGCATTTTTCCCGGCTTCCGATTCTGAAAATTGTTAAGCTGAAATTCTTCCCTTGTCTCATTGACCATCTGGTGTAGATTTTTGGCTGTGTTCTGAAGAGTGGAAGGTTCTGTTGAGTTTCCTGGTTTTACATTACTGTTTTGCATCCATGTTGCCCCGTGAACCCCATCCTGTGCGAACTGGAACCTGGTTCCATTTGCATACTTGTAACAAGGTCTGTCCTCCACTTTCTGAACCTCTAATTTTTCCCTGTAACCAGCACCATTTGAATTCAAATCCTGCCCAAAAATCTTGGGAATTACTTTTGGCCAGTTGCCAATTACCAATTCAGAATTAGGACCATTTTCATCCCTTTCATCTGTCGGAACCATCGAGCTCTCAATTTGCTCGGCCCTGTTGAGTGCGGAAAATGATGAAAAGGAAGATCCTGTCACTTTCAAGAGATGCAAGTTCTCCGGGATGGATCTAACTGATCCCAACTCCACAACTCCAACATCGGTCGGAATCAAGACGATCGTTTGCATGTGAGCTGACCTCGAAAGGAATGATCTAACACAATAATCCTGAGATGAATTCAATGCATCAGGTAGCCAAACATGCTTCCCGGATTCAAAACACTTTCCGGGACCACCTTCTCCCTTAGGGAAGGAGAAGTACATCGAGGCTAGGAAGAACATCTCAGTATCAGTAACCTTATCTAATCCAAAAGCATAACTATCCTCGTCTGTTCCCCCAAAAAGCGTATGCAATTTCTGAAGCACCCTCTTCCTCATCCTCTGTTGCGTCTCGTCTTCGGGTCTCGTATTTCGAATTCTACTACCTTCAGACGCCTCCCCTTCGTAAGGCTCCCGGCAGCACCCGTCCCCCCATCCAAGGACCAAATCACCGCTGGACTTGGACCGCGAAAGTTGCCAGAAAATGGCGTAATTCCAACTAAAATTGGCTGTGTTTGGGGTTTCCACGAGATGTGAAAGCTTATCGTGCAAATTCTCATCATTTCCCATTGCTATTAATGAACATTCAGCCGGAACAGAACTGGAAATCAAGTAATCAATAGCCTTAATTCCTAAAACCATCGCCGCCATGGTTTTATCCTCATCATTCCACACAACACCCGCCTCTAGTTTCATCTTTTACTACCCCACCCACTAACAAAGAATCTACAGTTTCAAATATTAAAAAGAAGGTAAAATCCAAAATTATTCAAATCATATACATGCAAATATGATTTCTATATCCCAGTCTTACACCTCCAGTTTCAAATCTCATAGGATTCAAATCTGAACACACATGCATGACCCAGAAAAGAAGTACATCAAGAAGAAAATACACACCTATTTGACGTCAAGGAGTCAGGAATTTTTTTGGGAAAGATACAATAATTTCTATTCAAAATGTTTTCATTTTTCAACGAATACAAGCTTCTTTTTTCTTGTCCTCTTTTCTTTCTGTTTCAAGAACGGAAAGAAAACAGAGTGAAGGATTGAGCCATGTGTGTGGATTTATGCTTCTCAAAATCTTGCATGTATGAAAAGTTTGATTACTGATTTAAAGGGTTTCAAAAAGTAATCTTGGTTAGGTTGAAGGAAACAAAAGTTTAATCTAATTTCTTTTCTTTCTTTTTTTTGGTGGTATTTTTCTTAAGATTTGTATTAGAAATTACACCCCCATTATCCCTATACTGTAGGATGAAAAATAGGAAATTTGAAGAACATGTAAATTAGGAGAATACAAAATTTTCAATTATTATTTTAAAAAATATTTTTATTGTATAAAATATCTAAAATGATCTTCTTAAAAATTACTTTTTTCCCCTCTCGAGCAATTGAATCTCAATATCAAATTAAAAGGATCGCATCTTGGTCAAACGATTCTATATGAGTTCAACCAATTTCAATTGAATAAGATGTAAATATCAATATATAAACAAATATTTAAGAATATGTTAAAACTATAGTGGTATTTTATAAATTTGAGGAATGAAAAATAAAAAGAAAATTCTCAGCTATTTATCACGTGGAAATCATTTCCAGAAAAACATGTTAGGGTCCCAACTATAAGAGTAACATGAACAAATTCATAGCT